GGTAAAGTTGAGTGATATTCAAATAAATGTACCTTTCATCATCAATAGATCTGTAGGGTGCAAGAAAGGGCTTTCTCTTCTTCTGAGATTCAGTCAAACTTCTGACATTTAAACAATCAAAGAAGTTATCAACCATCTCACACAACTTTGAGGTTGCTGCTGCTTCAGGGGGACCAAACGCCCGTAGCACTTTAGCTACTGAGGAACTTAAGACTTGTGCTGCTAAATTGACTCGCATGATAGAGTACGAGCTGAGATTAATATGCTCATATGTGAGCTTTGGTAATAACTTGAGGCCATTGTCAATGTCCTGGTAGTAGAGCTGGGCAATGTGTTGAAACAAAATAAATTGCCCATCATTCCACATGTATCTGGTGCAGGTACCAGAGCCAGAATGATACAAACAGTTCCGAGTAGTCTTGATTAAGTGTGGGGCATCAGAAATAAAATAAATAAAACAATGAGGTGCATACAGGTTTATTGTCCGATAGCATACATCTGTGTCTGCATCTCCATCCATAGACTTGTGCAATCGATAAAACCTTCTGTTCGGGGAGGCACCATCAGAGGTGGTAAAAATAACCCACAAATTGCAAAATGTTTCCAGAATAAAAACTGCTTCCCAAAATATGGGCATCAACTGTGAAGCAGTCACGCCATTTGTTGAGAAGTGTGCCAAACAGAACTTCAGCTGAGTGGACACACCACGAACAATGAATGCCAAAGCAAGTATAGCAATCTCATCTGTCTTGTTCAAAACTGCCAAGTTCAAGTCAAGATCACCAAGATCGGTAAATCCAATCAGTTCTCCTGTACCCTTGTCTAGAACAAGGTTGGACTGCACTTTCATTTCATCGAATAAAAGTACAACATATCTTTGAACATCAAAATATGAATTTGTGAGAGATTTAAGTTCCTCTATAACTTTGCCATTAAATCCCCTTTGAGGCCTAACAGCATTTTGGTGATCCTTTAGATGTCTTTGGCTAGTAAGTATCAACACTTTACTGTTACGCAGTTCTTCGTAGCATGACGGTGACTTTGCTGCAAGGGATAGGCAGAAACAAATAATCATTGGATGATACCTTACACCTTTGGAGCTACTAGAAAATAATTTCTTTTGCTGCTCCCAAAAGAGTTTCATGAATGGGGTAATTTCTGCATCATTAGCTGAATTAAGAATCTTGGAAAAGTCATTACTTAATTCATGATCTACTTCAATGTTAGTTTTCTCAAGTTCTACACGCATCTCATTCAGCTCTCTCTCAAGTTTTGCACATCTCAGTCGTTGCCCCTGCAGAGTGAGTTTGATTCTTTCTGGGTCAGTCTTAGATATTGGAGCATTAACATGAGCAGGTCTTGACTGCCGTCGTTCCTTGGCTTTTCGACAACTACTTGTAGAGAATAAGTATTCTTGACAAGATTCACATACAGAGTTATCACAAACAAGCAATCAGTCCTTTGCTCTCCAATAACCCTTGTGTGAGAACTGCTCATTATTATCCAAATCCAAATCTGGATTCAATGGAATGACGTGATGGTAAAGTTTACTTGTCATCTCAGAAGGATTCACTCCATCACAGACTGTATATGCTTCCAACTCTTTAACAAGCAAAGACAGTGTTACATTTTGCATTGAATGACGGTATTTCAAGTACAGTTCATGGACATCCACAAGAAATGACCCAAACATTTTCACCGTAAACCCAAGACTATTGTCAATGCAAATCTCTAGTTTTGGCAGAAGAAATTGCTCTAGTTCTTTACGAATAACAAGTCGATCAGAAAATGTCTTGTAGCTCCATTCATTCAAGCTTTTTAAAGACTTCATTTTTTGACAAAGTTCACTGAATGTCTTGTAGTACACACTTCTACTTCTGCTGCTACATGTACTGATACTCGAGTTGTTCAAAGGCACTGATTGAGCCGGTCTTGCCACTGGTTTGTCCATTTCGTGACTCGTTTTGGGCATATTCAATGTCGGTAATGCACCAAATCGCGGCTTTTTCTTGGTCATTTTCGCAGAGGTATAAGTAGAAAAAGAGGTATAAGTAGAAAAATAAGGCCCTATTAAGGCAGGGATTCTTTCTAATTTTAAGTTCAAGGAAACCAAAATCAGAGGACACGTGCACTGCAGTGTGGTGAAGAAGCAAAAATTGAACGACTTATACGTATCATACTTACATATTTCAAAATCTTCAGGAGCAAAATGCTTCTCACATGTGTAGACTCGGTCATACTTTATTAGTTCTCTGAAATTCCGGTCCATTTCCCGTGTCTTCTTGATCTCTCCAAGCCACTCCTCCCTACATTTTTCATGCGCTTCGTCCTTCGCCAAAGCAACTTCCAAATGCCAATTCCTTTTGTCCTTCGGCAAGATCCACAGCCAAATGCTGCACAATTCTCTCCAGGCATAATTCTTCTTTACATTTGTTATCTTTGCATATTAAAAGAACAGACATAAGTAGCAGTAAACTAGTAAATAGAGCATGTCCCATGTCTTGATTTCAGTGGAGACACCATTTTGTTTATCTGTGTGCAGGGTCGTGATCACGTGACGACGCAAAACCCATAACAAAGAGTTGTTTCTCTGAAGTTTGCCAGGTTTCATAACCAGTTCCCCTCTACTAACTATGCTCCATTATACGTCACACCTGTGGTCTGGTGGTGCAACTTCATAAAGTTGATTATTTAGGACCCCCGCATTTCCCCCTATCCCATCCACTCTCTCAGACTCAAAAGCACAATTAGTGAGGACCCCATAATATCATATTTGACAATGGTGTTATGTGAAAAAAAAGATGACGTATTAAGTAAAAAATAAATCAGATGTTACAATTCAGATGTTTTAATTACCCACTAATTATAATATTTTATGGTCTACAGAGAAAGTTCTTGCTGATAACAGATTGTCAAAATGATGGAAGCTTTCTCATTCATCACTTCTTATCCTTGTCTATAAAAGGTGTGTGGAGTTTAAATTAATTGAGAAGTCATATGTAGGACCTGCTTACATTACATGTACTTCTTGAGGAACTCTTTTAGTCAGTTATTGAGGATCCCTTTCAGTCACTTTTGAGGGCCCCTCATATATAGTCACTTCTCAAGACCCTTCTCAGTCTCTTGTGAGTCATCTTCCCCCTCCTTTAGTCACTTGTGAATGATAAATATACCTCTATAATTCAGGAGACACATGTATGTTATCCCACAAGTTTTCTCTGTGGGAGAAAGTATCACTGCAGTCCATTTTTACAGAATTTCAGAACTTTGGTTGTTTTCTCCTTTTTTTTTTTTTAGGAGGTTTCAAAGTACTTTTTGTTGCCTTGGTCCAGTCTTTTTCTCATTACAGTAAAGTTGCACAGAAATTGGTGAGAATTATAGACATCTCTATATTTTGACCTTGATATAACAGAAGCAGGATTAATAATTTATTTATTGTTTCAAATTTTCCCATTAACATCATTGAGGAATGAGTGACAATCAAACGTTCAAGTGTTCAAGCGGGTTACCACCGCGCTCAACTTATTGATCGACATGCAGCACTACAAACGTCGCATAAGGAAGATTCCGACCGCATTCCATTCACTCTCACGTTTCACCCTCACAACCACTCAGTTAAATCCATCATTCTTAAAAAGTTCAAATTACTTCAAAACGATCCAGAGACAAGCACTATCTTTTCGCAGCCTCCGCTCATTTCATTCAAACGCGACAAAAACTTAGGCAATTTTTTGGTCAGAAGTTCTTTTCAGACTAAAGAGCAACCAGGCACTTTTAAATGCACTCGTGCGCGATGCAAAACGTGTCCTTTCATTCACAACACTGATAAAATATCGGGACCTAAACGATCCATTAAGATCACCGATCACTTCACGTGCACCTCCGCTAATGTAATCTATTGCATAACTTGCACTTATTGCAAAAAGATATACATCGGCGAAAC